TATATTATATTGCTATTTTAAAACTATTTTATTACTATCATCCCTATTTTTATGCTATTTTATTCAGAGGCAACCCTATTTTAATTCTATCATAATATTTCACTAAAAGAAAGAGCCATATTTTATTAATGTTTTATTTTATTTTTTGTTCCTATTTTTATAGATAATAGAAATAAAATCGCATATTTTAATACTATTTTCCAGAGCCTCAGGGAAAAAATAGGTTTAAAATAGCCTATTTAAATTCTATTTTACTTCACCAGAAAGCAGTTAGAAATTAAAATAGATATAAAATATACTATTTTTAAACTCATAAAATAAAATAGGCTGTTTAAATCCTATTTTACATTGGAAGTTAAATGCACAAATTTCAAGCAGGAATAAAATATACTATTTTAATCCTATCTTTCTTTCATAGTTAGCAAAATAACAATAAAATAGACTATTTTAAACATATTTTGCACGTGCAGAATATTACATAAATTAAAATAGATATAAAATATAGTATTTTAAAGCTATTTATTTTTCAGAATACGCAAAACAGAATAAAATAGACTATTTTAAACCTATTGCACATTTTTAAAACTGCCACATTTTTCAAATAGGGATAAAATATACTATTTTAAACCTATTTACTTTCCCTAATTTGCAAAATATAATAAAATACACTATTTTAATCCTATTTTACATTTACCGGGATTCAGGATTACAATTTGCAGATATGTATAAAATAGTCTATTTAAATTAAAACATTCTGAATTTTCCTACTTAGCAAAATGAAATAAAATAGAACCGTATTTTATAGTTACATAGATAAGGGACCAATCATTAATAATGGAAGGGGGGAGGGGCGGAGGGTGAGAAAAGGGGGAGGCTTCAACTGTTGCCTACACTGGTCATCCCATGCAGTGCTTCCACTTGCAAGGACATTTCTTTGCAAAAAGAAATAAAATTTACTAGGAAACGGCAAGGAATTTTGTTTTCAGCAAGGAAATAAGGATATTATGTTATTTCTAATATATCCTAAGATTATAGCAATTCCCAAGCAAATTCGCGTCAGGAAATGTCAAAAATCCAAATCCTACTCCTGGGGAATGGAAAATCTGAAAAATTTCTGAGAGATGACCTCAAGCTTCCTGTTGCAGTTTTTTATAATTAATTTATAATTTATAATTGCAAGGTTCATGGTGTTTCTCACCCGAGAAATACACCGTCATTCAGGATAAATTATTGTAATATCAGTTTTAAACTAGGTAAAATTCATCTTCATCAAAGGAATTTTTGTCAAAAATAAGGAAATTTTGAGCAGTTGGGAAGGAAATTATTTTTTTGAAAGTGGAAGTGGAAGCACTGAATTTACACCCCGCCATTTTTTATAATCAGTTCGTGATTTCGAAGTTACAATATTTCGCTCGATATTTTGAGCCGATGAAGCCTTATTAACCGTGAATAAACGAAGATGAAACATCAGGGATGATTGAGTAATATCCAGGTAAGAATCTTGTTATGTTTTATGTATAATAGAGCAATTTTGAAAGGAAATATTTGCTATCTTCATTCGTGAACTTTGAGAATGCACGTGTTTGATGACCTTTGATGTTTCGGCTTAAAATTTGAATTTGCCGAGCCGATGAAGCCTTAATAAGCGAAGATGAAACATTAGGGATGACAGAGTAATATCCAGCTAAGAATCTTGTTATGTTTTATGTATAATAGAGCAATTTTGAAAGGAAATATTTTCTACTTCAATCTTCATTCCTGAATTTTGAGAATGCACGTGCTTGATGTTTCGGCTTAAAATTTGAATTTGCCGCGACAATATTTAAAACGATGATAAAAAACGTTAGTTTAATTCAAAGCTTACATTTGACTCCTGAAGTCTTTATATTAAATTATGTTTATTGTATTAACTAATGCCAAATAGTTAATAGTTGTGTATTGCCAGATTCCAGTGGCAGTATTTCTTGTATCAAAATTAATATATTATAGCTTGGCATCTACTCAAGTTTCAATCCTCAATTCTTTATATGCTTATAAATACCTAGGCATATCCCAGCTAAATGTGCATGTCTCAGTTACATAATAGTCATAGAATAAAAGTTATTCTGAATAAGGAGTGCATTATATAGTAATTAACACACAATTTATGAAAACTGTATGTTTTTAATCAAATATGATTCACCTTCAGCAGTGTTTCACAAGATATGTCGTTATATTTGCAAGACATGCCGTTATATTATTTTCTACTTATATCTATCTAGTATATTTGCTGAAATTATCAGCCGGAAAAGGATGTCTCATGCACTTTACCATTATAGCACTTATATACCCTACTTTAATTTTTTTTTCACTCTCAGTCTAACACCAGGTGTTGTTTGCATCAAAGCTGGATTCTTTCAGTTCTGTTTGATTTTACCATGTCTAACATCTGAGGGTAATAGTACAATGTATTAGGATATCAATGGAATGGGGGTATAGAGGGTTAATTTCAATTTCCTTTGTATGCCATGCTTAAGTTTTTAATGCCGGGTGGGTTGGTTAATAGGTAAAATGTTAATTTGATCAATTTGTTGTGTGGCAACTTGATTATGGAAGTGCCCTAACTGGAAACAGTCAAAGTCCTTTGTTTGCTTGTTCAAAGTTTATAATATATGAATACATTTATCTATACCACCTGCATGATCTGCTTAATAATATATGTAACAACCTTTGGGCTACATTTTATATATCTCATTCTTTAGACACAACCCGGCAAGTCACGACAATGGTGAAATTACCCATTTCACTCCGAAGTGCCCAATTTTCAGCAGTTTGTTAATATTTAAATGTTTCTGTATCTTGCCTAATGTTGGACAATTTTATTTGCCAAGGAAAGTATCCAGCTAGACTCATGATATTTCATACCCATGATGTTTCATGTTGACATATTTAGATGTAATTTTCCTTAACACTCCCTACTTTAAGTTCTGCACACAATATTTAACTGTGTGGTCTCAAGCTAGACAATTTTAAGGGGGGCGGCTGCCCCTCCTGCCCCCCCCCCCAGTTCCGGTGTCCTTGTAAACAATGCCATTGATTTGACACTGCTTAACCTGCCCCATTCACCCCTGCCGCTGTTAGACTGTTACAACCTAGCATTGACAGCTAATAAGAATACAAACTGTTTTATGTGTATTATTTTATACAATTTTAAACGATAATATACCTGTCAACCATGGTACTAAGCTAATTTGATATTATTTCATTACTATTTTTTAACTGGTTTTAATTATCATACTACAATTTTATTACTTTATAAAGAACTATGTTGCAGTGCTACTATTTTTATATACTATTAGGTATTTTATTGTTATTTTATAACTATTTTATTGCTACATTCTGACCATTTTATTGCTACTTTAAATTCTACTATTTTATCAGTATTTTATTCATATTTTTAAACTATTTTATTACTATTTTTGCAGTAATTTTATTACTATTTTTAGTTAATATACTGCAGTTGATCCACTATTTTATATGTATTTTCGACTATTTTTTACCTATTTTATGTATATTTAAAATCTATTTTATTACCAATATTTCACTTTACTTTATTATTTTATTTCTATTTTGCACTCTATTTTAAATATATTTTATCCTATTTTAAACCTATTTTAATCTGTGCTTCACCGATTCAGAAAATAAAATCTATTTAAAATAGGCTATTTTTTGTTTCAAAAAAACCTATTTATAATAGCCATAAAATACAATTAAAACAGAGTTCTAATAGGTTTAATATAGGATTTGTATATGTGATAGCAATATGATAGGGTTAAAAATAAAATAGCTTTTCTGTAGGAATAAAATAGGGTTAAAATAGTGTTGATTTTCGTAAGGGAAGGCACAGGATATTGGGATCCAAGCTGAACATCTCGAGATTGTGGTTCGAAAATCCAAGACTGACCATTATCGACAAGGAAATATAGTTTATAAAGCAAAAACTAACGTGCCAGCGTGCCCACATGCTTTGCTTTTACGTTTCTATTCTCTCACAGTTATACAGCCACGTTCAAACGAGTACATTTTTCGTTCGCTGTCATCGCTGAAGAAAAGTACATTAAATAAAGCAGACAACAAACCAACTCTTTCTCGACAACCGGTTTCGTATTACATTTCGATTCAATTTTTCTAATATAAATATCTCGGCGAGTATTTACCCCCCTTTGAAATAAATGCCACCATTGAAATCCTCACAATATAACCTTTCGAACGGGG